TTCATCGACATTGTTGGCTACATTTGCTTCGTTAGTCTTGTAAATATCATCCAACATGTCAGTCTTATCGACATCATCAACATCAGTAACGTCATCGACATCATCGACATCGTTGGCCTCATTTGCTTCCTTTGTCTTGTCAAAATCCTCCAACATGTCGGTATTATCAACATCATCAACATCATTAACATCATAGAAATCATGGATTTCATCGATATCGTCAGTCATGACAACATCCTCCAACTCGTCGGTCTTATTCACTTCAGCCATATCATCTCCTCTCCTCTCCGACTCCATTCTTCTTGATGGCATCGAGATCGAGTTCATTCTCCACCTTGTCGACAGCATCACTGGCAGCATCGAGACCATCCACCTCATCGATCCTCCAACCCACTTCCTTCTCGCCAGTCTCCTCGTGCTCGTTTCATCGTCAGCCTCGTCGACCATTTTGGCCACTCAGTTCCTGCCTGCCAACTTGGCGGCATCACCAGCCTCGGACTGAGCGACATCTTCGTTGGTGACGCTCGAAACATGAATCCGAGACACATAAACGGCCTCCTTCTCATCGTCACCAGCCACGGACCAAGGCCCGTCTGTCGTCTCGTCGTGGCTGTTGTTTCGGCCAGGTCCTCTTCCACCTGCGGCCTCGCTGATGCAGCGAACCCACCAAAAAGCCGGCTTCCGGGGTCTCGACGACCGCAAGCAAATGGCCACAATGTGCCCTGCCCGATTGCCATGGCTCGGACACGGACAGACGAGCCGAAAGCGGACATGACAAATTTCCAAACACATGCGCATACCATTTAGCCCGTCGGGACTAAAAGCTTTCGGCCAAGCTCCCTCTCTCCCACCATTTATCACTCGTTCCCCCTCTTGCCCCTTCCCCAAGCCCTCCTCTTCGCTCGTCGACTTTGCTCATCTCGCCCCATTTCGCCATTCATTCCGTCGACGTCTTCCCACCCTCCACATTCATTAACGCCACCATCACTCCCTCTTCCGTTGCCGTCTGCTTCTATGCCTTCTCCCTCCCCTCTTTAAACATCCCACTCTACTCCATTACACTTCATTCCACCCAATACACTTCACGTACTCCACTCCACTCCACTCAAGGCACTCCATTGCACTTCTCCATTTTATACCACCCCACAAACTCCAATCCTCTCTACTCTACTTCATCCACTTAATTTTACTCTACTTTACTCCACTTTACTATACTTCACTTCACTTCACTTCACTTCACTTTACTCCACTCCAACCCACCCTACTCCACTCTCTCTACTTTAGTCAACTGCATCCACTCCAATCCATTCCATATCACCTATTTCACCCTATTCTATTTTACTTCACTTCACTCCACTCCACTCTCTCTACTCTAGTCAACTCTATCCACTCCAATACATTCCATATCACCTATTCCACCCTATTCTATTTCACTTTACTACACTTTACTTTACATCACTTTATTTTACTTCACTTCACTCCACTCCACATTATCTACTCTCTCTACTCTAGTCAACTCCATCCACTCCAATCCATTCCATATCATCTATTCCACCCTATTCTATCTCACTTCACTTCACTTCTTTCACTCGACTCCACTCGACTCAGAGCACTCCATTCGGCCTCTCCACTCTATACCACCCCACAAACTTCAATAAAATCTATTCCACTCTACTCCACTACACTTTGCAATACCTCAGTTTAATTCACTTTAATCCACCCTACTCCACTCTCTCTATTTTAGTCAACTCCACCCACTCCAATCTATTCTATATGACCTATTCTACCCTATCCTATTTCACTTCACTTTACTCCACTCCACCCCACCCTACTACACTCTTTCTACTTTAGCCAACTACACCCACTCCAATCCATTCCATATGACCTATTCTACCCTATTCTATTTCACTTTACTTTACTTTACTTTACTTTACTT